ATATCATCTTTTGTAGACAAAAAAAACCGAGGAGAAAAGAGAGTGAGTGAGTGAGTGAGTGAGTGAGTGAGGAGGAGAGAATCGATAAACAAACAAACAAACAAACAAATCAATGAACATCAATTCTTTTGTATACGAATCAGTTATCCGATATCAGTAATCCTTTTTTACAACAATGGCATAGCTTGTTCTTTTTTCCAACGGTCGATTTCTGAAAACGAGTCCCAGTGCATAAATTGTGTGACTCGGGTCCAGCATCATGTATTCAATTTTTTTTTTGCGGCAGAGACTTTCCCATATATGCTCTTACGTTATACTTTTTCCTTCCCACAAATTGATCCAATCACAAGCCCATTCTCACGACAAGATAATAGACAATAGACAATAGATGAATGATCATAACTGCGCCTATTGAGCATTCTTTATTGAATCATATGATGGTAAATAGAATAGCACTACATACAATAGTGACGAACAAAAGTACCATCCACCCAAGCCTCGGATATTCTATGTCATGTGAGTGGGATTTAGCAAATCAATTAGTCAAAATGACAAGCTTATTAATTAGTTACGTTCTTGTGACGAAACAAGATATGAATGAAAGTGGTCTATTTTTAGTCTCCCAATAATGCTCTTCCATTACGAAACAATATACCATCATGTCTCTTTCTTCTTGCATCTGTCAATGCCATTCCTCTTCCCGGGTACGTCTTGGGTCATTGCTGGATAAAGCCAACAATATAACTGATTGTCTATTAAGAACAATAATTTTAGCGCTTGGTCTGATCACTCTTTGTGTGTGTGTGTGTGCTGGGTCCAAGATCAACACACAATCAATTGGAGCGTGATTGTCTTTCTTCGCTAGGTGTAGATCAAGATAAAGGGTTGAATATAGTATAGTGATGTTCCCACCAGCCAGGGCATATGCTACGGAATAGGTGTGGTTAACAATGATATCTTGTATTCAATCATATGTTATCATTGGTTATCCATAATCATGCAATAAATCAAGATGGTGATGAGTGATAACACCTGTGACCCCACCGTTTGTTATCTACTGCGTAAAATGTCGATTTATTGGTCATGGGTAGTAAATAATAATAAATGATAATGATGGTAAGAATAAATAATTACATATCATCAATTATTTATATGTTTATCATCTTGTAATCTTTCCCCCACCTTTTCTTCTCCTTTTCTCCCCCTATTTCTAAAATCACTCAGCCACATCGACTGCCGTAATTGAAATAACAAACAAATGGATGGAGTACCTCGGTCGACTGAAGAGTTCTAGCACCTGTCATACACTCATAAGAACTTATATATCGATATAGACAAGATAAGTTGGACTGTGGGCAAATTAGAAGTAAAGATTGGTCAGCAAGTATGAATAAAACGCCAAGTAAAAAATGGACAGGAAAAGAAAACAAAGAGAGATTGTTTGTCGACTGAGCAATAAATAGGCTACATGCAGGAGACGGAGATAAACACATGCATCTATAATGGTTTTTTTATACTGCAGTTTAGTATATTTGATAATCCATTGTTCTTGGCCGCATGGCAAGATGCATAAAACACACAGATGACAGTGACCAATACACCAATACTTTGTCCTATTTGTTACTAATGGTGATACGTGCTTGCCAAATCGGGCTTGATGTTATAGTATAGCCTCATGCGATGTGCGGCGAGAGATATTACTATCAGGTCATGTGGATCCAGAGAAAGAAAAGGACAAAGGAAATAGGATAGATGGGTTTCTGTATGCTAGTACACGTTGTATATTGTCAAATACAGATTCACCCCCAAGAAATACGTCCAAGAGAAACAGGCTTATTCCATGTATTGAGCAAGTTTTTTAACAATTAGATGGGAAATAAAGTTTGTCGGTTTTCGTTTATTAAGAAAGAGGCATATTAAGAACGAACCAGTATATGAGAATGATCCAGTATATTAAGATTGCTTCATTTAGCTCGCGTGGTGTAAAATTAAAATCTGTACAAAGAAATACGGTGGCTAAACCTAAAACCTAAACACCGTCATTCATACACATCATTTTCATCATAATGTTATCGTGCATATTATATGCAGTACTTTTCTGCACCTGCGGTCACACTCTCTCATTCCTAAGTAAGGTCGTATTCAATAGTTCTTGGACATGATTTTTAAAAAATTTCTTTCTTTTTTTTTCTTTTTTTTGAAAAGGGGATAGGGAGAAAAAAAAATTTTTTTTTTCGAGATGCACAAGTATGTAACAGGTGATGACAAGCGAGATTAGGTTTATTGTGATAGGCGCTGTGAGTGGTTAAACAATAAGGATAAGCATCATACATAAGTAATATAGGCGTAAAGGACAAAAAAGACATCATAAATAATGCAGAGCGAAACACGTTGCCAAACAATAAGGAGTCATAAATCTTCTTACAATTACAGTATATACAGCCAAATAGTAATTATATTGGTCGTAAGTGGTGGTCGTAATGGCGTCAATGTAAATAACAATAACGGCAGCATGATATCGTAAATAACAGAGCAATGAACGATCAATCTATGAAATGACTTGCTATCAGCTTTATCGCCATACTCATGAATCAACCACCAAATATAATAATGTCATCAGATAACATACGCCCATTATATTAATATGGGAGGACAGGCTGCAGACAAAATGAACGTTTTGACATCATTCGATGATGATCTTGTTTATTTTTGTCTACTTCTTTAATGATTAGAATAACCAACTGCAAAGCCTACATTTCCTGACATTGCATGAATCTTGTCAGCAGGTAGTTTTCTATATGTTGAAAAATTACAAGAAGATTTGTAAAGATTAAGGTCGGGATAGCTTTCTTGGCCCACTGTGAGTGATGCTAACTTTTTGGAATAATTTATTTGAAACTTGTAATTTTTTTAAAATTGAACTCTTTAAATCATTTTGAGAATATCAAAACACTCCAGCTTTTAATGACATCCTTGGCGTTGCATTGTTTCTGACTATATCTTCCTAAGCTTGAAAGACTAATATTATCAGCGTAAGAGTCCAATAATCATGATAACCCACTAGTCTTATTGATAAATTACTAATTACTCTCAGTCATCCTTTAACCCGACATTGGCCCAGAGCTTATCATCACTTTTTCCGCCTGCCAAGCAAAGAAAAGTTTTGTAAAGTTACAAGTGTCCCTGATAGCATGCAAACTTTTTATGATGTAGTCAGTGACTGTAGCGCCAGTGAGTTAAGTTAAAATTCTCAAAGTATGCGGCAAACCACATGGTTGTAAATTAACAAAGTCTTTGCCATGAAAGCTAATTGTAGAACAAGAAGAAAGTTTTACCTATTAACAGAATTTTCATCGCTTGGCATTTGACCATAAATATTGTATAGTAAATACGTCCCATGTATTCTCTCACGCATACATGACATGATTCAAACATGCTGTAATCTTCAACCCAAAACGCGACAAACTGTCGATCGAGTAACCGCTGAGAAAAGTATGGGAAATATTGAAACATTAATGATAATGATAATGACGATAACAGACATCTGTCTGACGTTGTCGTAGTATTGTCACCGTTAAACTTACTGGTTTCCCAACCATCTAACCATTCTGTCAATAAAGTCGTTTTTATTTAGACGTTTACTATTTGATACATGCTAAACACCCTCCATTTACCCATATCTGTAATTCCCCTTATTCTATTTCTCACGATGTGAATGTCAACGTGGAATTTAAAAGTCTTAATATGGGTTCGAAATTGAAGGTCTATTACCTAGAATGGATTAGGTCATTGAAAAATTTGAGACGACCGTTGGGGTGGGAGTATCAGGTGCGATGTGCGTGTGCGGATATACAGTAGATGTGATGCTGTGGGAATATTGAATACTGAACGTTAATCGCGAGTGATCGGGTTGATCGAGTGGGAGCGTGCGTAAAAGAAATATAAGTAAAAGAAAACATGACGAATATCAAGCGTCATTATTTTCTGTCGAATTGGATGTATCCAAGTTTGCATATTCACCAACTACTAACCCGTCGATTGCCGTTTATTACACATTGGTTTCTAGAATGATCGAACCCCACACATTCGCCGATATACAGAGACAAGAGATTGTCTCTTGTCCCACCTTTCTTCTCTCACAGCGCATGATAATCAGCAGAACGCACCCATTACTAAAACGACAGTCATTTTCGCTGCATCGACCGATTGATCAGGTGTTGCTTTGAATACAACTTTTGGTTATGAAACACGCGTTGGGGAACAAGAGGTAATTACTAATAGTCATGTTGATTAAAGTTCTAACTCACATGACTCACAAGCTTATCTTTTATGGAAAATAGAATGGCTGTCTGTATACGCTATAAAGTTTCGGATCATGGGGTCGAATTTCATGACTAAGAAAACACAGTTGAACATTAATTACTCACAAGCGTCATATGATATACTGTATATTGCACGACATGTGTTAATACAGTAATAGTCAACACAACGTTCACACTATCGCTACAAAATAAACTGTCATTAAGTATTCTTCGCCTATATTAAACCTATCATTACTAATAAATTAGAAATAACAAGTCCTGTCAGGGAATAGGCTCCCGCGTCAGCCTAAGCTGACTCCTTTTCTGTAATATATCGAAGAAGAATATTACGAGCACTATTAATGTCTCTATCAAGCTTTGTTTTACATTTGGGACAGCTAAACACCTTAGATCCACCAAGCTTTTTATGAATCTGACCGCAGGATCCACAAGTTTTACTGGTGTATTCTTCTGTACAAATTGCCTTCGGTCTTTGATGGTATGCCATAAACCAAGTCAACACAAATGCTCTTTTTACCCTTTATTCTTTCTGAATTAGCACTCTGCTGTAACGTTTTAACATTTTCGCTGATAATAATAGGGGGTTTAAATTCTCAATCTAAGTTATTTGGGGATCGATTCAGTATTGTAGAGAAAGTCTTAGCAGTTTAGGTAAATGGTACTGACGATGCGATCATCTCAACTTTGTGACAGCCAGACATCTATAGTGGTGGCAGTTTGAAAGTATAAAATCAAAGTTGTAAGTGGGTATTCTTCTCGATAGCTTTGGAAGAATGCTAATAACTGGTTTCTATCATAAGCATGACCTGGAATTATATGGTTAAAGAAAGTTTGAACTACAATTTGCCATGATTAATACCGAATATGGAAAAAAACCCATACTGCTATTGTTGATAACCCTAATATTAATGGAAGATATTGACCCCCGACTAGTTAAAAGTTTAATTTCCCCATGATGTCCCAGAATAGAAAACTCTTATACAAATGTTTAGAAGTCCAGGAATCGAAAATTAATTACCAATTCCTACAAGAAATATCGGCACAAAATTGGCAATTGGAGAAAAGAAAAGAACTTTTTTAGTATAAAAAAGTGTATAACAAATGCTGAAGCACGAGGATGAGCTGAGGAATATGTCAGTAAAGTAATCTTTCAAACTAATAATTATCCTTTTACTGATTTCATTAAGTCTATAAATTTATGGTAAAACATCTATTATTATGCATAAGCTCTATTTCCTTCCAAATACGCGTCTAATAAAAAAAAGCCAACTAATACGTTTTTGTGCGTTCTATCTTATGCATGTAACACTGACACATAACTTGTAACTTGCATCATTTGTTATTAGTTTACAATTCAACGTGCTATTGTTTTCGAGCCTGCAATAAAATCACGATAGACCGCTTTGTAATTCGTTTCGGCTGGCAAAAGTGTAAGCGATTGAGTAATTTGGTTTACATTTCTACCAGGACTTGGTAATCCATGAATTCAGCATAAAATTTTTCACGGCTGTAGCAACGTTTTTATCAATGGTTAACTTGGTCTTCCATTGTTTTATGTTACCATGAACGCGTGATATTATGCCATTCATTACTAGATAATTTCTGACGTTTTCCGAATGAGCGCGGCCAATTACTAACATATTAAGATACGTTTTCTGGCAAAGAAATGTATGGCGATCTCAGTAGTAAACCGTTCGCTTATTAGCACGCGTTTTCTTTTTAAGATGTCGGCTGGCAGTTATTTTTCCACCATCCATTGCTTTAATTTGGGCCATTAAGAAAATATCTTGTTCTAATTTGGAACTTTGGTTGACATCCACAATGACAGCCATTTTCCAGAAATGAATTGCTTGTTCATACTTAGCTGTACCACAATTTTTACTATTATTCATATACATATAATCCTGTATAAAAATATTCGACTTAGTTGGTAAACTTCACGGATAATTAATTCTAGAATCAATTGAAACTTACGAGACATCCTAAGTTTTATAGGTCTTTTATCACTTATTTGTACTGATTACAATGTTCTTGAGTAAATTACAGTGTACTACTGCTTAATGGGCGAATCTTAAAAAAGGACAATTACGCAGGAGGATATATACTTGCAATCTTAACTTAGCTGTTAGTAGTATGGTGCATTCGCGTCTAGTAATATATACAGTGTGTTGCGAAAAAGTGGCACACAAATAAACTTGTATATCTTAACAATTACCCAACGGAGACAAATGAAAGTGGACTTATTTTAAAGCTTATAAACTACTTTATTAAATGTAAAAAATTTAATACGAAATTCTATCCCCGTTTTTTTGTGATACTAGTTCAGAACGATTTTTCATAGATCCGATCAACATCCTGAGGAATTTTATCCCACTCTTCTACCACACTCTTCTACCATAAATCACCCGCATTCTTTTTTCTACATTGTTTTTAACAATCTGCTACATATTCTCGATGAGATTCAGATCAGGACTATTAGATGGCCAATCCATTACATGAACGTTGTTTTGGGATAAACTTTGGGCGAACGACCTTACCACCCTTATGCTCAGCAGTCTTTGTTGTTTTGAGTTTTTTAAGATTACGTTGAATAGTTCGAAGGGGAGTCTTTGTATTTTGGTGTGAATTCCATTTAGCCAATAATGTAAAATTGTTTGACGAGCTTTGTGTTGACCATGTAATCAAGGAAAAGGGTGATTTACTTTTGCAAATGTAATTAATGACAGGTTGATAGTATACAGTAGAAAATATACATGTAATGAAAACTTGAAACACTATAAAGTAAGCAGAGCAAATACTGGAATGGAGTGAATGATAATCTATATATCTACGGCCATTATTCGTTCTACATAGTCAACCTTGTTAATCCGAACCTCGTTAATCCGAATTCCTCGTTAATCCGAAGAAATATTTTGGTCCCGATTCATTAATAAGAAAA